AAAAAAAAGTAAAACTAGTTGATTGGAGATTTGTATCAAAACAAAGTTGCGGTTACTATATATATATTTCAAGTTAAATTACCTTAAAAATGTAATTCGTGTATCAAGTACCCTACTACAAAAATCTCGAAAAATTAATACCGCATAAAATGCTGTTTTGCGCAGCCATGGACAACGATGAATGAAATCTTAAAACTACCAGCCCTTTGTCGCAACGGCGTGAGTTTTGTTCATGTGGACGTTCCTTGTCACAAATGATTCTTCTCCACTAAATATTAATTCAGCACGTGAGGTACATGGTACATGATTCTCAGACAGCAGATACCTTGAGTCTAAAAATAACTTTGTGGGGGGTAGTGGAACTACTCCAGATTTAAAGGTTACTCAAGGAATACACTCTCATAGCTTGTTCGTTACTTGAGCTATATCTTAAGGTCGGGGTATGTGTTTCTTGTTGAGTGTAGCAAACGAAACGGAGCAATTGGAGCATATCTGTTACCTAGGAGGAGAATTGATAACACGGTCGAGCGTCGATAGAGAAGATCAAAGGAATTGTAGAGTTCCTTATGAGCGATTTTTCTACCCTACAGATGCTGGGAAACAGCCTGTTAGTGAAGAAGAAGAAGCTATTTACAGTGAGGCTGACGATGGTAAACCCAAGCCATTACCTGTGGCTGAGTTTCCAAAATACTTCAAGAAAAAATCAGAAAATGGTGCCATTGTGTTGCGAGAGGAATTTAAGGCAAGATATGTATATTTTATCTATTATAGTTTTTACCTCTTTCCTTTTCTTTCTTATTATTGTATGATACAGTAATTATCAATATTTCTCGAATTGTTTCGTGTTTTTTACTTTCTTAATGGACAACTTGACATACATATGCTTCAGTACATTATGTATCACCATTTTTTGCAAAAGCGCAAGAACAATTTTTTTGGATGTCGTTGCAAGGGTCGAAAAAAGTGATGACATCTAATCGGTTTTGATAAGAGCACATGTATTGCAACTTAGTTCATACCTTTTCCAGTATTTACCAGGTGGGATGCAATTTGCTTGGGAGATTGGCAAGAGTAACAGAGGCAAGAACCGTTATGGAAACATTGTTTCATGTGAGTACATCCCATCAACTTTGTAAGTAATTTTATGCAATGGTCACTATGTAAAACCCAGAAGTTTAGATAACTAGAAGTCAGCTTCTAGTGCAGGGACTGTAACTGGTGCTTCCCCTTTCAGTCGTCTTGTGAGGCAATTAAGTCGAACCAACTCAATAACCACCTCCCAGCTGGATGGTTAGCTCAGTTGATAAAGTAATGCACTGATATCACAGGGGTCATGGATTCAAATCCCGGTCAGGCCTGAATCTTTTTTTTCAAATTCCATTGTTGATAAATCGCAGAACTATACTGGGATTAACAATCGCTTCAAAATTGTTGATTTAGGAAGTGGTGAGCTTAAATCTTGAGAGATTATAATGTTTTAATCCAAATTTTGAACCTTACGTTCAAAGCGCATCATTCTTAAGATTTCTTTGCATTTCACACCAAAAAAAAAAACTGTTGAAAAATTCAATAGAAACTGAACAAACGATTGTGTTTGTTCACAGATGATCATTCTCGCGTTTTGTTGGAGGAAATAGAGGGTGACAAAAACTCTAGCTACATCAATGCAAGCTACATTCCGGTCAGTAACAAAAAAAGCATACGACAACGTGAACACAACAACACTATACGACATGACACGACAAGACAAGATAAAGAAGAACGACAAAGTCGACCTTACTTGTTTGATATAATGAATGAATAAATAGATAAACAATCGATATTTGAGTTGATTATCGTGAATTTCTGTTATCTTTTTCAAATTTCTCTCCTCAGACCTACGATGAGGTCACCATGACTTATATCGCAACACAAGGTAAATATTACTTGAGGTGTCTCGTGGATACACTGTAAGTTGTCGCACGCTAACTCGTATTACTGTGGAACAGCTCGTGGGAAATCTGACGCAACATAGAGTCAGAGGGCTAGCAAATGTCCCATGATAATGACGGTCACTTTCACCGGGTTCTTTGTCGGTATATTTAATCGTGTACCCTTTCCAAATGGGGCACCCCTGGAACTAACAAAAGCGTCGTCGATCCCATCGTTAAAGTTAATACATTGTAGGAACAAAGCTTTTAGAAAACTCTCATCCAGTTCAGACGACAGTTTCTAGACTTTTAGGGGGCGAAGATTATCACTCATCATTACAGGGTTCCATCAACTTATTGGGCTTTTTGTTGTGGCCTTTTACCAGAATTTTGCGTTGTTTCAGTGTTCTACTCTTTGGGCAGAAGTATTCCGGGAATAAAGCAGCAGTAAATGATGAAAACTCCCACACTCCCAAAAAAAAGACTTGTCCCATTCTTTTGTTAATAAATGCTAAAAAGCTCCTGTGAAATTAACTCATGTTTCGCCCCTCTTTTGTTTTAATGATTATTAGGTCCAACTTCTACAACTATCGCTGATTTCTGGCGAATGGTCTGGCAGGAAAACAGTTTCACTATTGTGATGCTTACAAACCTGGTTGAACTGGGAAAGGTAGACGTAGCGCAAGTTTTTAGTTTGATGTTGAACGTAATCCGGAGTTTCAGTGATTTTTCATTTTCTACACTTAAGGAGTAGTCTTTAAAACATGCATCATAACCTCAGCCAGCAAGCCACCCAGCGATTAGGCTACTTGCGTAGCATGCTGTACGATGAAGTTGTTGGTCGCTATATATAGTATCAACCTATTTTTTTCTTATCATATCTTTAGGGCAAATGCGATCAGTATTGGCCAGATGATACTTCCAAATTTGGTGCTATCACAGTTACCCTACACAAGACTGAAACATTTGCCGATTACGTCATCAGGTCATTGATTGTGACAAAGGTGGGTTGTCTCTGTTCGAAATGAAATTACGTTGAATACGACGTCTTGCATTTTTTTTTACTGTAAACTACTTGCAAAGAATGACAGCGTATTTTAAACCAAGAGAGCTCCCTCTGTAACAACATTCCCAACATGAGAACGAATTTTCACTTAGGACTCAGAAAAAAGGACCGTGCAGCAGTTTCATTACGTCACTTGGCCTGACAAAGGTGTCCCACAACATTCCACAGCTCTACTTGGATTTAGACAAAAGATTCATGCGAGGCACCAGGTTACTGGTGGACCACTTGTTGTGCACTGCAGGTAAAAAGTATAATAAAATTTGAAGACTTCAAATTAAATGCTTCACATTCGCAAATCTTTATCGTATGTTAGTTTAGTTCTTCTGTAGATATTTCAATTGCGATTTCTATCTGGTTTGGATAACAGGAAACAAACGTTTTGATCAGAAGAAAGATTAATATCACAAGGAACCTAAAAGAACTGAAATTAAAACAGTAAAACTGTCTTAAGTGTTAGAATTATATGCGTTAGTGTTGGGCTCTTTTTTATAGTGTAGTTAACCCTTCAGCTCCCATGAGTGACTAAGACAGAATTTCTCCTTATAATATCAATGCAATGTCAACCAGATAAGTGATAAGAATAAAAAGAAATATCAGCTGGGGGATAATTTGTTGATCCAATACTTAATTCTCCGAACTAACATATTAAGAATTGTATGGTTGACAGTTAGGAGAATTACAAATTTGGTCGAGGAGCTGAAGGGTTAATAAATAGATCTCAATTGTTTATTCTCAATACTCTTACTGAACACACCAATGATGTCGAGAATTTTAAAAACACAAGTGAACCCTGCTAGAAGCGAAGCCTAGAGGTATCTGAGGTATTTCAAAAGTCAGGTCTCCAACTTTTACCTTCTGCTCCTGCCGTTTCCTCTTTATTGGTCGCGACCCTTAATAGTTCTTGCTATTTTTCCTCAATGTCTATTGTTCTCTCCGTTGTTTGTTACTTACCTCTGTGGTTACCTTTGTACAGTGCTGGTGTTGGTCGAACTGGCACATACATTGCTATCGACGCCATGTTGGAGAGTGCTGAGAAGATAAAAACTGTGTTCATACCGAATTACGTGCAAGTCATGCGTAGATCTCGTCCTCATATGATTCAGAAAGATGTAAGTTAACAAATTTAACCGTTTTCCATAAGAATAACAGTAGCAAAAGTCCTATTTATTTTCCCCCAGTGTTTCTTCAGAAAGAGTATGCGTCATGATATTAAAACTGATACGGTGTCTTAATGACCCAAGCCTGGTCATTTTTCAAATCATTTTCAAATCATTTTTTATGATTTCGATATGACACCCAAATGATTTTATAGAAAATCCTAACCTTTTGCAATTTCCATCTGAAAATTTAGTAAAATACAGAGTTTATGTAAAAATAAATACCACAGTGAGCACTACTCTTTTTTTAACTTCTAGAGTAATAAATCGATCAATAAATTTACAGGGGCATTAAGTAACTCCTTCCTTACTATCTTATAACTCATTCACACTAACAAAACATGCTCAGTTAAACCGAATTTTTACTGAATGAAAACCACAAACGGAAAACTGAAAAATTGAATTTTTCACAATACTTAAGTACTCGGTTACTTGTATTTTCAATTTGCTACATTTAAACATTGGTTCTATGAAGACAAGAAATTAAACCATGTTTTACAAAACAGCTTTAAAACATGTCTAAGGTTTGGTGTGTAAATGAGGTTTGAATAATTTGAGAATACGACTGATATATGGAAAAAAGGCCGACCTTCTTTGTAGAGTTCAAATTTGCTCTTCGGCCAACGCCAGGAACGGTTACGGTTTTAAAAACGATGATGTTTTGGTTGGTAGCGAGGATACAGGGTTTATTTGTCGTGGATGTTTCAGTTTGACGGTGACGAATTTCCTAAATTTAGCTTCATCAAAAACTGTCCTTTGCAACAGTATCGGTATGTACTTTATCTCTGTATAGGACCAGTATGTTTTCTTGCACCAAGCTGTGATGGAAGCCTTGGTATGTGGAAATACAGAGATTATCCCTCAGGACCTACGAATTGCGACAAACAAGCTTGCCAAGGTGCATAAACCATCCAAAAAGACTGGATATGAACGAGAGTTAAAGGCAAGTGATAACTATTCTTAGTAACTAAATTGGGTTTTGTATGTTATTAATTGTGCGTAAACGTAAATGCTGACAAGACAGCTAATTACTTGCTTCTGGAGATTCTTTTAAAGACGTGTCAATGTGACTTTGTTAACTTCATGTTCGTATCTCATCTACAGTTCTTAAAGACAAAAAAATCTCGAAAAAATTATTGTCAGACGTAATTATCAAAATACAAAGCGTGCTTTTGTTCATGGATAACTTCTACAAATTTCTTTTTAACATACATATTAGTAGCAGATGAACTACTCTGTAATTTGTTGATCTTACATCACAATATTTTTTTCACTTTTCTATTAATTTAATTTGTGTGTGTGTGTTTTGCGCGATTAAAAAAAAAAGATTACCTTTAGCCGGAATGAAACAGCAATATAGTAGTTCGCTAAGAAACAAAAATGTTATGGAAACAACAATTAACCAGGACCGAACAAAAATGGCTTAAGATGGAGGGGATTAAAACTGGATAGGACGAACTGAGAGAATTTTATGTGTTGTAGCGCTTGGAGCTTGTAACAGACGCCCACGCTTCTCAAGAAGTAGCAACGAACGCATTTATGCCCGCTAACGTCGTCAAGAACAGATTCCCCAACATTGTTCCGCGTAAGTGTTCCTTTGTCTTTGTTTGCATTGTTCCTGAAACACGAAACAAAACTTTTGCTTACTCCTGAATTATTTTCTAGCGGAGTCTTAAACCGAGGGGGTCTCATTCGGTCTGTGATCTTACCAGTGATCAACGAAATCGAAAGACCACAAGCAACGTTAATTTTTTTTGTCACAAGACAGATTTGGACGACACTAAGTTCTGTTACTGAACAATCAAAACTGTCAGAGCATTTTGGGAACAAAATACACATTGATTACGCGCGAACTATCCTTTCTTACTGTGCAGTTACAGGCATCAATCGTGCACTATTAGATTAGTGCGCTGTTCAAGCTACCGATCATTAATCGTACTCTATCATTTTGTTACTTTCGATCAACTAAGGTTATAGCCTATAAGAGACTATAACGCACCCTTTCATTGGTTGAAAGAGCCTGCTCTATCAGAGTACAGAGCACGGAGCTGAGCTAGAGCTGTCACGCCATCCGCCAATTTTTACTATGTCCGACCATTTCCCGGACATCTCTCTTGTTTTGTTCGTTATGTAAAAGTGAAATTTCACTAAGTGGGGAGAAACACGAGACATAGTCGAGTGTTTCTCCCTACACTTCTTTCGTGTTTTATCCGCTTCCTGCGTTCTTTACAACAGAACAGAGCATAGTCAAGGCTCCAAACGCTAGATCTGAGACAATCCTTATAACTTTTGTTAAGTATATTTTTTTTGTTTGCACAAATGCCTTTAATTTGATTAAACATTAAACACTTATATTCGATTTTGTACCAGTGGACAATGCTCGAGTGCATTTACAAGCGTCTTCACAAGAAAAGAGTTACATCAATGCCTCTTATGTGGATGTAAGTGCAAAAATGCCCTTGTAAAACTTTTATAATATATTCTGTAATTCTAGCGTGCTGATAAGAAAAGACTCAGTATTTTCGGGTTCTTTAGAAAGCTTTCTGTTGCAACGTGTCCGTATGGTAGATTTTTTAATTCAGTCAACCCATAAAAAGGTGTTTATTTCTATTCAAGTTTTCCTTCTTGGGTTGTGGTGTTTTTATTCTTTTCATATTGGTATATTCGTGTTGCTTAACTTGACGTCCATATTTTTCTTTGATCTTTTATTTATCAGGACTACACACAACGTAATGCATACATCCTGACACAAGCTCCGTTAGACTGCACCATTATAGACTTCTGGCTCATGATTTCTCAGTATGATATTGGCACAGTTGTGATGTTGAATAACTTGGAAGAAGGAAAGCAGGTAAAAATCATGGCATGTTTTTGAAAAGCATATAGCAACACTCTACACTCAGTGTTTGCAACGAAGTGTGCAAAATATGCCTAAACAATATGCTAGAGCTATGCAAGATTGTGCTAGAAATCACGTGATTTATTTCAAAACAGCCAGCTACTGATATGGGTTACTATTGGTATCTGTGGTGAACTTTGATAGATTACCTCTATTCGTTAAACAAATTGATATAGAAATAATTATTTAAGTTATTAAGACATTTTGACAGGACGCGTCACTGTATTTCGGTTATCATCTCAACACTTTTAGAATGAGGAGCCATTTGGTACCCTTCATCGTCCGGAGAAAGTAACATTTTACAACGATTGACCAACTGAGTATACTCTCAAATGTCAGTGAGACGCTATAGTTGAAACTCTTTTTCGGAAAATCCTTCCTACCATCATGCCCACCATCATATCACATATATTTAGTTATTCGTGTCACGGATCATACATGTAACACTACTTTTCTTTTTTAGAGTTACCCACAATACTGGCCAAGCGAGGGATCTGCCAAGTATGGTGAAGTCACTGTCCAGCTTTTGTCCCAAGAAACTTCAAACAATATCACTACCAGAGGATTCAGCGTCGATAATGCAGCGGTACAGTTTGTTTGTTCTCGAATTGTAAGGTCCCATTTTTTCTGGTTAGTTTGGAGGAAACTTTTATCTATACCAACAAGAGGCATTTAAAGAAGAAGAGATTGTTTGAATGAACACGAGATTTTCTGAACGTATTCATAATCGCGGAATCTAGTGGTTGAAATAATTCCTTTTTGATTTGTTTTTGTTTGTTTGTTCTTCGAATTTCAATGTTTTATTCTACGTAATCAAATTAATCCTGCGTGGAAAATTGATTTTTGTTCATTACGGAATGTGTTTGGGAACGTTACAGAAAATCCCACGATTCAATTCACCACTAAGTTTATTGTACAACAAGCATTAAAAAAAATAAATCGCAATGTTTTATGAAAAAAAAAGTAAGTTCATACTTTATCTAAGTATTTACAAGTTCTGCGAGGCTTCCTGACGAGTAAAGCAAGGAATGAACGTTCTTAGGGGATTTTGAGTTCTTAACGACAACAACAACAAAAAAGACCTGGCTATGTGATCACGTGGGACTATGCGGCCCATGTGATAACTAATTTAAAATAACTTGACCTCGTGTTCCTCAAA